GGGAGGATAGAGTGTCATTTTGGGGTTTCGTAGAAAACTTTACAACGCGATCGAGTTGTTTCACAATTGATTTTTTCCTTATGTTATTATATGTGCTCAATCCGTAGATCGCTTGAGCGTTTGTTAGTTTCGAAAATCGATGAAATCGAATTTTCCAAAGTATCTGCGCTCGTATAAAAATTTTATATCTCGGAAACGGTAAGGGATCGCCGTTGGTACAGAAATGATCACCGTCAAAAAAAAATTTTGTTTGTCTGTCCGTTCTCCGTTCTGCTTTCTCGTCTTTTGGTTTTTCCTGAATAACTTTCGAACCGTTGGAGCTACAAAATTGAAGTTTACCTCCGATAACACGATAAGTGTCCGAAATTTGAAGCAATCGACTTCATATTTGGCACATATATGCAGCTTTGCCCCGTGACGCAACCTATTGAACAAAACTACAAAAAACAAAATTTTTCAAAAACTGTTTACGAGACCAAAGAAATACTTGAATCAGAGGAAGCAGAAAATACGGGTCTATAAACTTTTATTCGTAACAATTTTTCAAAAATACACAGGGTGCGCCGCAAGTTCAAAAACTGAAAAATGGGCCCCCCTATTATTGGATACAACTTAAAGACTATGATTCAGATCTCACTTTCTTTTATATTGTGATATATCCCGCATAGAGGGCAAAAATTTTTGTTAAGCTTTTCACCTATTGCACAGAGGGTTCCCGATATTCCGTGCTAAATGAGAAATGTGTTAGGTGTCCTAAATTTGCAGATATCAACTTCAATATTCAAATTGAATTGAAATCGCTATTTCGGGGGCTGTCAAGACGCCATGACTTCATTGATTATTACGGCGCACTGCATGGTTTCATAAAAAAATTATTTTCTCGAAAAACATTTACTATTTTCAAAAAATTCTTGAACCAGGACGTGTGGAAAATCCAGGGCTGTAATCTCCACTTTGAACAATGATTGTATCATATACAGGGTGTGTCGTTTATATCCTAAAAATTTCCGTTTTTGCTTTAACGGACGATAAATAAAAAACCGTTAAAGATGGGATAATTTTATTTGAACCGTATCGTAACCCGTGTCGTGAGAGTTTCAGGTTTCGTCAATTATACCGGGTGCAAATTTTGATATTTACCGATGTTAGCTGTAACTTTGAAGTTCGACGAGATGTGAAGGACATTTTATACAGGGTGCATGCACAATTAAACTACATCGATTTTGCGAAAGTTCCATAGTGGTCTGCAGGAGCACGATAGAAAAACAATGCGTCCCTTTACCACACGAAACCGCGAAGTTCTTTCCATTTAGAATAAAAAGCTGCTTCGCGCTACGCGCTACGAACATGCCCCGTCCAGTGACGATTTTTCGAAAGCAATCTTGTTTTGGACGCAGTTCGATTGTCGTTTTTACTAGAGAAAAGGTTGATACCTCAACGACAGTTTTCTTTGTATTGTATGACACCTATGCAGTTATGACATACGGTACTGAAAGTGTTTTCATTCTTATTTGGGTTTAGCAGTCAACATCCATTTGCACTTATAAGCACTTATAAGACAACGAAAAATCGAAGCAGAAGAAAAACTCAATCATCATTTACAGATGGTAAAACATTATGAACAGTTTGCACGGAGGAAGAACCTCATTAATGAACATTTTCAAAATTTATGTGAGAAATAAAAGATATTACTATTTATAAATCATTAAATTTAAAATGTTTATGTACTAATATTTATAATAAAAAATAAATTTATGAATGATCTATACTTCTATTTAAAAAGTAATATATGTTTAGATAAATATTTTCTATGCAACTGCTGCATTTTCGCTTTCGTTTTGAAGTAATTTAAAGTTATCTGGATTTTTAATCATTTAAAATTGAACGGTGGACTAATGATTACCAACTTTAATAAGACCACTGATACACATAAACACAATAGGTACTCAGTACAGTTACAAAAATGGTTCAGAGCAACGACTGTAATAAAACATTTACACAAAAACAAGTCTCTATAGACACAAATTATTTTTTCTTTTGTTGATTTCAATGATACAATTATTACCGCACTTTAATCATTATACGGGTTGCTTATAAATCAAGCTTACTAAAGTTTCGTCAATCATCCTATGGACTCCTTCAGAGCTTAATAGAAGCTGGCTTGTATTCTACTCTGTAGCTGCTTATATATAAACGCCGTCTCGGACGACTGATATTGGTGACAGTTAGAGACCTGAGTCGCGGTTAAGATTGTTTGGTGGCTTATAGATTTTTATAGACTCTCGGATTTTTCGTTGGCAGAAGAATTGATTACATGCAAGAATTTTTGAACCTTGTTGATATTTTCCATCCTGTCTCTCCAACATACTCTTATCTCAAACGGAATTTAGCCTCTGACGGATCGAAGATGTTGAGAGATTTTTATTAACTCTGGTTTTAAGGTTACATTTTTTAATAACTTTTGATTTGTGGTCAGTAATGTTTTGAATGTAACGAATGACAACACTGGCAAACGTGTTGTTGCTTTCGGACTCATTGTCTTTGGAATGTTGTGGTGAAGTGTATTTTGTGATGGAATGCTTAATATCTCTAATGTGGAAATTAGAAGAGTCAGTGACTCCGACTGAGATAGTTTTGTGACTCTGTAAACAAGAAAGTCGATAACCGATTATTTTTTATGCCGTATGCGTGCGTAGGTTTTCTGTAAACAAAGTGACCCAAGGATAGGTGTGATTTTGTATTAGTAAGAATGTCGAAGAATGGGAGGTTATTATTTGTTTCTGATTCAGTGGTAATAGAGCGCGAAGTTGCGTTTTAGGGAAAAATATTAAAAAATTCACTTATTAAGTAAATCAGTAAAGAGAAAATGCTGGAAATTATTTTTCATTATCTGAAATGGTCTCCAAGTTGGGTAGCTGCGAAATTTTAACGATGCTTAATGTAAACACTGTTTTAATGCTCAAATTCAAATATTTTTTTATTAGATTCTTTTTACAATATCTCTAAAAGAAGAGTGAGTGGTGGCCGTGCTCCGAAATTTCCAGAAAAAAACACTGGATTTTCATATACTTGGAATCGTTAAAAAGGGCTTTTACCCTGCCACCAGATGGCGCTTTCTGACATAATGGCAAAATAATAATATCCTGAAATAAAATTAAATGTAACTATGTGAATTTGTTTACGGCACTAGATAGTCAAACAAGAGCCCAACAACCTAGTGAAAACCGCATCTCAATATCTTTATCCTAAACTAAAACCAACTTACCAAAAATAGGTATATAGGTTTCCCAGAGATCGCCACACAACAAAAGCATCCGCGTATCGAATAATTTAATTCGGCTGATGGCCATTGAAAGTTTTATTTTAGCTTATCCTGGCAGCCATTTGAACATATTATAATTTCACCTTACTAGAGATTAAAGTGCTTATTTCTGGCTAACGTACGTCAATATGAAACTTAATTTATATAGAAACTAATAGGTGTAATTTGTTTTTCAAAAGCCGTATCAGATTAGGAATGCGTTGATAAAAGTGGCTTCAAATTCTGAATAGGAATCTTTAAAAAAAACATTAGGTGTCACATTTCCAGTTTCAATATTCTGTTATGATCGTATACCGAATTTGATAAAGTTCCCTTGCCCAGTTCTCCGGGCTGAACATGAATTACTCTGTATTTATAAAAAGCTTGTAAATAATTGTCAATGAAATGTTAAATGGTACATTGTCCTCAATGTCAGGTATAGAATAGAATATCATGGACAGATCTGTTCGGGGCATAGTTGCGTGAAGAACCCCTTATATAGACAGCGTTAGCATGTCAAAAAATTCTTAAGGCAGTTTGCCAGCCCAACATGGTTCGCCGCTGGGTCATTTCGTTTAGTTTGTAGCGGGCCGCCATCAGAACTATTTTGTACTTACTGCTATTATCGTTAAGTATGGTCGTACTGAACGTAGTTATGGTTTTATTATTCAGAAATATTTAGAAACAGACTTTACCACAGAACTGGTTGGCTAACCATTAGCAATCAGTCCCCAGGTCCACATTAGATTATTAGAAATATGGTTAGGTGCGAAGGTTAAGTTGATTTGACAGTACAAACACAACCACTTACAAAATGTCCTAGTTCCTCTCTGGTACTTTAGCATTAAATAATTTTAAATAGGTTTGTGGGCCCAAAGCTATTGTAACGTTGCTAATTAAACATACTCGACCTAAATGTACAGACTTCCAGTATGTTAATGCCTGCTGCAAAACACGCATTGCGTAATCCCGCTGATTGCTCATTCGCCGTGGAAACAAGTTTTACGGTAAATTGGGTATAAAGTAAATCGTTGACAACAATTTCGGATGTTTAGAGGTATTGCACAGGCGTCAAAATTATCTTACCCACTGAATTTGATTATAACGGATTAACCAATTCCTGGGCACAACATTCCGTTGGTTATGCGGCTGCAGGCGCCCAAAATGGTTGTTGTATTTAATTGCGACAAATTAGAATCCGTCGACACTAAGCAATTGGCTCTAGCAAATGTGGGCAAAAACTCGCAAAGGGATTGCTTTCGTTTCATCGAGTGCATGCGGTGTAATTTTAAATGGCTACGACGTAACGACGTCTGGAACTTTTAGCCGTTCAGGTCAATACTTGCTAAAATCTGAAAAATTGTAAGCCCTAAAAGCGAAAGCAGAAATCGGATCCGATGGAGATATCTGCTTAACTCGAGGAGATATCAGTTCGTTTTTATATTTTTCCGCCCATTAAACGCTGCTTGTTTCATTCACAACTGGATATTCCCCAGACCATCGACCGACCCACGCAGACCTGTCGGGACCTCGTTAAGTTTTCGATGTTTTTGTGCGCAATTCGCTTTAACTTTAGGTCTGAGTGTAACCAAGAATAACAAATTTACCTCGAAATAAGCTTTTTCTGTTTTTTTTTTCATGGGCCACAGATCATTATATCGGTAATTCCGAATTTGTCGTTGCTATATGGATTACTTACCTGGTACAAAACAAACCACCGCATTTGCCATTTTGTACTGTCCCCGGATTTCTTGTGTAGGTAGCCAGCTTGTGAGTGATCGAAATTAGCTCGTTCCGATAGCATTAGAAGCTGATTTTCGTTGAGCCGTATCGTTCTTTGCATCTTCGGACTTAACATTTTGAATTTTTATTATTCTGGAAAAAAAAAACGATTTTCACATAACGTCCATACTAACACTATATATGAAAGCAGTTTGAGCAGTTTAATTACACGACAATTTAGAAATGAAGAGGCCAATTCGCAAATGGTCAATGCTTTAACGGACTTAAAGTGGGCTTATTCGGCCATGGAAGACATCGGAATGTAACATAATGAGATGCTACTTAGAACAGAGCTTCGTGATAGATCTCTAATACAAAGCATTCAATAACGCTTACAATATTCTGCAAAAAAACGGTTAAATGTTACCATACTGCAAAGTACAATTACCAACAATTGCAAATGTAATTACTATTTACAAATCTTCTGGATTCCTCCCGGGTTGATTTTTTATACGGCAGATTTGCTGACGTTTCGCCAACCATCTTTGTGGCATCTTCAGAGCTTAACTAAAACTGGTTTGTGAATCTTAAGAGTCATGAGGGGTGGCAGATTTTTCACGGACTGTAATAGAGAAGAAGCCTTAACAATAGATTTAAGGTTCGTTCCATAGGTGACGTGGGATTTGTTTGAAGTAAGAATATCTTGAATTTTTTCCTTATATTCACTTGTGTTCATTGCCACCATAGCCGTTGCTTTATTTTAGATTAGATTAGATTTTAGAGATTTTAGGGCAATGCTTTCAGGCTTTGCAATATTAGATTTAGCTTTTTTTAAGGATTTTTGCGGTTTCGAATCGAATTTGTTTGAAATGATTTCATCTTTTGGAATAATTCGTAGGGCCAAAACGAAGTTGGAACCTTTTTCAATGATATGATGGTACATTTACCACAATGTTTCGTAGTTGAGAATAGTTTGATTTTTCCACTAGTGATGACATTATTTTTTCAAATTTTTGAATGTGTTTGTGGTTAGAAGATGAACGAAGATTTTCAGCTTTCAGGGTATCGTACTCAGATGGCAACAAGATAGAAGCAATTTCAAGATGAAGAGACACAAGAGTCTTATTGATTTCTTCAATTTTTTACCAGTGTGATGAATTCTTTCTCGAAGTAAAGCAAAACTAGATTTACGTAGGACAACGTTGTGGTACAGAGTAATCTTACCAAAGCAGATTTTGCAACTTGTCCAAATATCTCTCAACATCTTTGATCCTTCAATGACAAAACCCATTAAATCAAAGACATTGGAGAGACTGGACAAAAAATATCAACTAGGGTCAAAGAGCCTTAAGACTACGACACATCAACTCATCAGCAGTTGCCGAACATAATCATGAAACCGGAGATCAAAGCTTATGTAATTAATTCTTCTACCAACTAAAAATCTGTAGAAATCTACAAGCAAGCTTAACCTCTACTTAGATCTTTATCTTTCACCAAGATGAGGATCATCATCCGATACAGATAACATCTGAAGAAGCCAAGAGGATGGTTGTTGAAGCGTCAGCAAGTTCGACTCAGCAAAAACCGACGCAGGAGGAATCCAGAAGATTTGTAAATAGTATTACAGTACTCTGTGGAAATTTCTTTGAGAAATTACGCATGAAAACATAAATAAATGGGTTGTTATTCTTTGTTGATTACACATTGCAGTACTGTAGAGCAATCATTTACTTTTTTGCTATAGAAGTTGAAGCAAAGTTTCTCTCTGATTGCCGCTTGGCGGAGAATGGCCATCAATAGTTAATGGTGAAAAACGGAATTGTCTTTCGAAAGTCGTTTAATCTATTTTTATTTTTAAAGTTTATTTTTAAAGTTTAAAGAATTCGGATCACCCGTATTTCTATGTACTCGGTGTTATTTATGAAGCTATTGTTCTGCATTGTGTCTATGGGTTTTACATAAGCAAGGATCTATTAAGACTCCCGCTATAATTATTGGTTTTTATTTGTGAGACTCTCCAATTCGTTGTCTATATTTGTTCTCCATCCATTTCTTGATAAGCTTTCGCTACCTTGATGATGTCCTTGCGTTGTGATCCTATACTTGGATGTTATTTCGATTTGGCATTTGACTTTTATGTTCCACTTTTTTATGTCAACGCTCCATCAATAATTAATAAATCAATAAATATTTTATGCCAGACCTGACTCGACGTTGTTACAGAATTACAGGTTTGTTTGCTGAAATCTAAAATTTAACAGATCAATGGGTCTGCGTATATATGAAAAAAAAAACAAACCGCTCACGAAATTCGAATGCCGCTTCGTTTGAATTATGAATAAAGTTCCGTTCTCCGTCTGCCTTTGTGTACATTCCGTTCTTGTTTTAAGAGGAAATAAAAGTTTATGAACGTTGTAAACATCGGCTTAGTTTGGCCAACTTCCGTAAGCCGTTTGTTTTTCCGATACAAATTATGATATAAAAGATTCCTGCTATTCCTCTTCCTGTCGAATCATCTACTCCAAGATCCAGTCACGAAGTTGTCTTTTAAATTAAGCAGTTCACAAAGTCGTAATTTTATGGGTTATGGTCCAGAAGTCTATACAACATTTTCATAAATTGCTTAGTTTTTAAAATACAGGGTAATTTTGGAAATCTGAAGTTTTGGGTCACTCCTCGTATCTCGGGTATCTTATGAAATGTCGGATCCGACATAGATTTTTAGGTATATTTTAGTTTTTTCTCTAAATTAGTTTTTTTTTTAATATAACATCCTATATCTTATAGGCCAATTTGCTTCCGCTTGATATGAGCTTCTCAAAAATATGGGATAGTATGGGATTATTGGTACAAGTGACCTCAAAAAAATGAATTTTTTTAATTTTCAGGAAGGTTTTTGTGGTAGGCCTTGGAAAAATGATTGATTTTGGATATAATTGGATAGGTAATAATAGGCCTAACGGACGGCCTGCCAGGTCCCCCGTTTTAAGCGTTTCAGATTTTTTTGTGGCCGCATTTACAAAGTAAAATAAATGTGAACCGCCAAAATAGTATCCGAGCAGCTTTTGAAACTTTTAGAACCTCTTATTATTCTGAAAGCTTTGGAGAGGATTGAAACTGTGTGTAGGTTGTTAGAAAAAATGGTCTACATTTTGAACAGTTTTTTTTAGTTTTATAAATTAAACTAATTATGTTCAGATTTGCAAAAAATGCTAATATTTTATAATTCTTATGTTCGTTATCATTTTAAATAATTGTTTTTAGGTTCTCGTTTTGGCTTAAAAATATAATGTTAATATTAAACTATGTTGGCTTCATGCACATAGTGTACATAGAAATAATTTAAAACACAGAAACAAAAAGATGGCTTTTTGGTAATGGCTTTTAGATAATATATCAGTAAAATATAAAACGATTTTTAAAATACGGGCGATATCATGTCAATTTATAAACTTCGTATATTTATGAACAAAGAATTGTTTGTATTTACCTAGATAGCATCTATATTACAGTTGTGTGAGGCGGCCTGTCTGTCATTCGAAATGATGTAATTAAGGTTGCACATAATAAATTACATTTTATCAATTACTAAACTTAAAAATTTAAATATAAAAATAACATTGGACCACATATAAATCTACTTAAGCAAGTATCGAATATAATTGCCTGCCAATTAGCTTGAGGAATCTCCATGGCTATAAAATATTTGCCAAAAAATGTAAGCTGGTTATATTCTCGATTTAATATATCTTTATAATCTGCGTTACTTTAGATATTCCATTGTTTTATGTTTCTTTCATCTTTGTTTTTTTTATTGTTTTATTTCTTTTTAGTACCCTTTGGCTCTAATATAGTAATTTAGTAGTTAGTACAGGTCGTTTGTGTTCAAGTTTTGTTATTTTTTTTTACCTAGTGCACTTCCGTGTAAAATTTTTCACAGAAATGCATAAATAAATAGAATATTTCCACGTTTTTCTCCACTCTGAAAATTATCCAAGTGAAAATGTTTCAGAAGCGCAAATTACGCAGTTATTTGGTTTTGTTGATTTTGGGTGTTTTCCCGCAAAATTAAAAGCAGTTATGGACAGTTTCATATATATGTCCCATCATAAATAAAAGCTAAACGGGCTTGGACATATTAATTTATTCCATGGATGTGGGAAACACGCAATTGTTAAAAAATGTTAATGTGTGTTAAGAAATGGTAATGTGCTGCCCATAACACTATAAAGCAAAGCCAATTTAACCTACTTTCGACACATTTTAAGATTCCTTCTACGTTTTGGTGAGTAGCGAAGTTTAAATGTTTTCGTTTTCAACAGTATATTTTCATTAATTTTATTTACTATTAGAGTTTGTGTATTACAAGATGAGTATGATACATGAAAAATAACCGATTCGATTGATTTTATGAGAATCACAAAGAAACAAATAGCGATCAGAAATATATAGTCACTTGTAGAATATGACGCCTGGATGTATGCTGAACTGAGACATTGACTCTTATTGTTTTCTCAAAGAGAAAGGAATTCGGTTTAAACGCATAGTCAAAGAGTGGTCTTTTTTCAGAAAAAATGGAAATACAGAGGAAAGGAATTTTTGCCGTAACGTAAGCGTTCTCCCGTTTTCCGAGTGGTAATACCGTCAAAGAAAATTTCCGTAAAGATACTCGACGAATTTATTTTGAAGGATACGTTTTATTAGAAATATTTGCGGATAAACTAATAACAATGAAATGCTTTGTTGGAAACAAAGGAGCAATGCCGTTGTTACACTTAACAAGCGGACCTAGGACTAAGTAGATGTTCAGATTCATTTTAATTTAAAAATTCTTTCGAAAGTGGCGGCGTTAATAATATGATAAAAGATAAATAAGTAAATCCTTTCGGGGAATGGCGGACTTTTCGGTAACCAAGGCCCAACAATTCACAGGTAGTAATACTCTTAACATGTCCTATAAATCTAAATTTATCTCTGTGGGAGCATTAATGCAGTTTTCAGTATTAGCATTGTCAATTGTTATTCTAGTATTGTTGCGGTATACGCTATTTGATAAAAAAACCCGATCTATTTCAATTAATTGTAACGTTTTCAATGTATTACTTATAAACAGTACATAACAAAAATAATTTTGGATAAATTTTCGGTCT